AGAACGATTGTTTACGTATGTAAACACGGTTCTATGAATGAAAGTGAACCTGTAACCGTCCTGGTCACATGTCGGTGATTGGCTGGCTGGTTACGCCCAGTCGTCAGAAAGAGGGTGAGTGTGTGCACGCGCGCCATTCATATAGGTGTAGCGCGCACCCACAGGTGTGTTTAATTTGGCATAATGCTCCTGACCCGAGGGTTGTAGTCACGTGGTTACAGGTTCACTTTCATTCATAGAACCGTGTTTACATACGTAAACAATCGTTTACACCAAACACTACCAAACTGTCCTGGTTACAGACAGTGGGTTATATATGAGTTATAATGGGTTATAATTAACAAATCCATCCACGCCACTGTGATGTTATATTTCCTGGTGAATACTGTATACATACCAAGGTGTTGCCTGTAAACACTAACATTAATTGAAGCTGCATTAAACTGTAATGTGTAACATTTCATTGGCTGTGACGTGTGTAACTAGGACAGTTTGGTAGTGTTTGGTGTAAACTGGGACATTTCTGCATCCCGAGGAACTTTTGGTCGCATTTCATGCGAGAAATGCAGCTGAAATGAAGGTTAAGACTGACTGATGCTCGCTGTGGCTGTAGCCGTGAATGTTATAATCTAAACATACAGAGAACCCTGATATTTGATAATTAGCCCTGGGAGAACTTTACGTCTGATGTTAGCCAACTGGCTACCACTATGTTATGTAACATATTGTGTAGAAATACCTCCTTCTAATGGGAAATTGCACCTATATCACACAGCAGCGTTTGGTTCCCAAATTCAAGACATTTTTACAATAAATTTTAATTAACCCACTTCTTGATCGCTGTTGTAGCTCCTTGTGCTATTACTGTTTTTACCCTCTGCTACAAACGAGCATGCGCAGTCTTGATCTTGATCGATGTTTCTTCTGCTCGATAAATAATGTCTGTGAAGTGATGACGTATTTTTGACAGTAAAGTTCCATCTGTGAATTCGTATTCGTACTGATGAAAGCGTAATCGCAAATTTTAATTTCGTAATTGTAATTCTTGACGTCGTAATTTTTCAATTCATATTCTGATGGATAAAATACACACAGTATATTTTATGTACAACTGGACTCATTTGAGAGTTTACAAATATTTATTTTATGCGCAACTACAGCCAAATATGCATGGATTTCCCAAATACGCACGGATTTCTATTCTATGCGCACGAATATTTTTGAAAGCTTTCTTACTCCATACATTTCTCTTTGGACTGAGGGCACAAACTTTAGCGCCCAGACCAATGACATCACAGTCTCTGTTTATTTAGTGTAGTGTGATTGGACAACTGTTCTGTCACTCACGTCACGTCACGACAACCTGCTGCGTCAACTCATAGCAGTTTCACGATTAGCGGCTGCTAGCTACTTTAGCCTAAACCTCCCATGGATTTATAAAAAAAAAAAAAAAAAAACTCCACACAGGAAATGGCGAGGAGAGAGCCAAAGAGCGAACACACTGACAGACCTGCCGCCGGTGTTAGGGTTAGTATTTTGTGCTTGATCATTTTTATTTGTTACACGACATAGCGATATGGCACCTGTTATAGGAGCGTCTGGAACAGCGACCAGATCAAGTGGTTGAGCGCGTTCATGCGCTGCAGTAAAGAGCAACGTTTGTTACTTTAAACACCAGGTCTTGATGGGAACATGTGCGGGATACATTTGGATTATTTTTCAATGGGGAAATAATACGCCACGATAAAGAAGGTTTAACGCGACAATACAGCTCTGGCAGTTTTGTGTCTCTATGGGAGTGAATGGAAGCCGAGGACACGCCCCCCCATGCTTCCAGATGTGGCCCCGCCTTTATCAGTTAAACTGATCACCAGACAATCCGGAACACCGGGACCCAGAGCTCTCGCTGCCGCCACCGGGGCCAGGCCGAGGATAGAGTCTATCCGCCTTTGCCCGCTCATTTCTGGGCGTAAAAGTTTGTCAGGCAGAAGTCTACTTGGTGTCCCAGTGCTAATATGGACTGGTGTAACTTTCAGATTTAAGTAGCAAGTGGGATTAAGTTTTAGTTTTTACAACCAGCTCGTGCATTGGGCTCCCGGACCTCGTGTCACGGACCTGACTGGACCGGGATTTGAACCAGTTTCATTTCTTCATATTGGACAATAGACTTTTGGAGACAGAACCAGTGGGACAGTGGATAGAGGAAACACTCTGCTTCAGTCTCTGGAGAAGGTAAGAGGCTGGTTTTCATTAGTTTGCGGCAAATCTGAAGATGGAGCGTCACAGAGAAATAGTGTTCTAGTTAAATAGTGGGACACGTCTCAACAGTCACAAATGCAGTGAGCGCGCAAATGATGAGAAGAAATGTCTCAAACCCCAACAGCCGACATAAACCCATACTCTAGCGACACAACTAGCCTAGACCCCGGGAGAACCCAAAGTCCAATGAAATCCCACAAGACACCGACACGACACCAGGCAGGACAGTGGCTCCCTCACAGCAAAATAGCATCCTGTGTTGCGGGTTAATACGAACAATTAAATGACCAAAGTAACGAGGCCACAGCAGCAGCCACAGAGAGAGGGGCCACTATATACCAATGTAAGTCAGTGACTAAAATCACTTTTAAGGGCAATTTTGTTAGAGACTTAATAATCCATTTTATTTATTGCTTTTGTTGTATTTGGTTCAACAGTGCATTTTTGTTAACAAGTCTTTGCTGTGAGCCAGATACATTAGGCTAGTCCTATGTTAACAAGTCTGTTTTATTTAGGTCTGTTGTTTTCAGTTGTCTTACAGTTCCTGTGTTAAATGTTCTTTAGAAAGTAAAGTTTATTGATCTTTGAAAGGATGTATTTGCATTTTTATTTCATGGTCATTATAATAGTTGAAATTGGTTTCAAAATGTCAATATTATTGTTTATCGCAATAAATTCTTGGTCAATTAATCATCCAGCAAAATCTGTTATCGTTACAGGCCTATTAACTTGCACTTTATTCATTGCAATTAGTCAAACTTGCTCAAATCTTCAATATCACTCATGTTTCCTGCTTCTAACGCATCAAGTAAAAATTTCCACGTTCTTCAAATAAACCCCACCCGCAAATGTTAAAATCACCCGTCATTAGTTGTAATGTTAAGACTGACTGGTCTGTTTTATTTTTTTTTTACTTGAAACAGTTTTACACTTTTATTCAAATGGATCTAGGTCACAAGGTTCACAAATGTCAATGCATTGGCCTTGTTTTAAATGCCGTTTCCATCTTTATTCCCTGGAAGCTTGCAGTCTGGGATGTTTTGACTCTGTTGAAATAAAACTGCCACAAGCAAGACGAAATGGCAAACATCTGACTATGTATAGTGGTGTAAAATAATAATCCTGCTAACTATTGCTTCACAATTCACTACGGATGTGATTCTCGACAAAATCCAATATTTTAAGCTACATGAGGACTCTGGCTGCTGAGGGCTTGTTTTATTGGGTGTTATTAGACCATACAGTTATTCATTACGCCTTCCTCACCTCAATAAATATGTAATTCTCTGAGGTGGGAGGAACAAGAAGCAAGCAAGAAATATATGCAAGGGCAAGGATACATACAACTGAAATTACTAGGTATTTGTGTAGACTTTTTGTATTCAAGTGGATTTCAAAATATTAGTCACATAGACATAAAATTGCACTTTATTGCACTGTGAAATACTCCTGTGGGTATCTGTTTTTTCGGTTAGTGTACAAAATAAACACAAAACTAACAAATGTAGGCCTGGAAATATTTTTCAAAAATCTATTTCTTTTTAAAACCCCATTGTGTAACTTTTTATCTGACAAAAAAACTCGGTCAGGTTTGCACTTCCACAAACCTGACTTTGATTTGGCCTGGAGGAGGGCCTTGACTTTTAATAGTAAGGAAAGTAAGAGTAACGTTTTTTGAGCCTTAGTCACGATCTTATATCTATCACGATTTATCTAAACTAGTATTTTTAGATTGTTGTAGAAGGTAACTACTTTGAAACCCAAATTATTGATATATCCATAAAACTCTTCATTCATTATTATCCATTATTTATTTGGGGACAATGCATATTAACGAAAATCTGTATTGCACTACTTTAGTGCAATACATATTTTCATTAATATCTCTGTGGCAAAGAGGGCCTTTGTCCTTATTTCTTCACTTTTCATTTAATTTACATCTTAATAAGTCAACTAAACAGCTAAATAACACTATCCCGGGTTTGTTTTATTTAGTCTTTGTTTAGTTAAATTAATCACTATGCACACAGTTACTTTAAATTAATTTTATTTGGTTGTATCTACTCATTTTGTTAGCCATCTTACCACCTTACCTGTGACTCCACATGGTCTGGAGATAAAGAGGGGGTGTAACTATTGTCAGCCATATTTAAAGGCTCTGGGGGAGGTTTTGGGCCAGACCATGTGGAGGGAAGCCTCAGATTCAGTTCTTTTTAGTTTTATGGATTTGGTTTGTAGGATTTTGTTTCAGTGTTTCTAGTTTATTTGGAGCACTATTATTTAAAAGGGGATTTAGGCCCTCAGACAAGAATATTATATAGCACATCTAGAAACAGGGAAGTTATGTCCAACTAACCTGTGTGTTGGTGCGAACCCAGGGGGAGAGACTTCCTGTCTGGGTACCATAAAAGTGGAAGCAGTTTAGCCATTTGGGGTTAATCACCATCAGTGCAGCCGTGTGCACGTGGGGTATTTTCTTTTGTTTCATTAATTTCTGTTGCTTTTGCTTTTGCTTTAGTTATTTTTTTTGTAAATATGTATTTTCATTTTGCCCACAACTCAGTGATGGAAGAAATAAATTTGGTAAAGGGACATTTTTTTGTCGGCCTCCTTCTTCGACCACTTTGGCCAGCTTCCCCACAAATCTCAAACTATTAAAACTTCAAATCACAATGACATCGTGTTTGTCCATAGTCTCCTTGAGGTAACTCTAATTCGCAGCTTGTGCCCTTGCATTGCAGAGTGTGCAGTTTGACGTGCGGCCAGGTGTGTGTGTGTCTGGAGCGTCTCCGGAGAGTGTGTCCCGTCTGCTGCAAGAGCTGGCACAGTACGGAACTCACTATCTCCGCCTCAGCCACTTCTCCCTGCAGAGCGCCGACAAGAAGGGCCTCGTCTTCCAGGTACATCTCAAAAGCATGGAGAAGCATAGTCTGTCTTGATTTTTTGATTTAAATCACTGGTAAAACAAAATGTGGTAGTTTGTTAGTAACTTTTCAAGGGTTTTGTGAAAAAACAAAAAATACTGTGTGGCAATAAGATGACTGGTGTGTTTTTTTGTTTTTTTTTTCTTTTAAAGGGGCCAGACACCTACAGATGTATCAGATATTATGCGTCAATCAACAATTTACATTTTTTACATTTACATTTTTACAGCAATATTTATCTAAAACGATTTAATTACGACTTGATTTTCCATAGTATGTCTGCTTTTAAATGGTTGGCTCCAAGTTTGCAGATACATTTATTTATCAATCTAAAATGGGTCTACGGAAACAGTTTTTATATTTTCTATCATGTTGGTTTTCATTCTCAGGCGTTTACAGGTGGTCTGAGAAAGTACCTGCACTACTACAGAGCCTGTGTACTCAGCACCCCTCCCACTCTTAGCCTCCTCACCATAGGATTCCTCTTCCGCAAAGTGGGACACCAACTCAGGTAAAGACAAGTGCATGCTCCATTTACCCCTACAGCACCAAACACATGCACATTCCATGCATATGTTTGGTGCTGTAGGGGCTGAGGAGGAGTACTTAGTTGGCTAAACCAACTAAGTACTCCTCATCTTTATTTGATTTATATGTACATATATACAGAGACAAACTATAGAAAGTAGGCCAAAGGTCACGTGCCTTTTATGGTCAAGAGCACTGTCATATTATGCCTTTGCATAAAAACACACCCTCCACAAGAAAAGTTGGTTACATAGTTACATAGTGCTCCCTAAATTTCTTAAAAGTGAATGATTCATGTCAAATCTGAGCTCATTTGGACCAAACACCAGGGACTTGAATCTTTTTGCACACATGCAGCCAAAACGCTGGAGAATTTTTGATCCAATATGTCCGACTTCCTGTTCATCATAGACATATGTCCAATTCATCTTTTGGCTTGTCTTATTGTTCTCTATCACTGTCCCGAATTTTGTTTCCCTGTGACAAAGTTTGCTTGTATCCTCTTCCATAGGGGTTAAATTCTAGGCGGGACTGTTGAGCTTCGGTCATTGAGTGCGTATACATGCATCATCAGTATCCTGGTTATTAACCATATCCTGGGTATGTCAGTACAGCGTATACATGTGCACTGAGAAACCAGGACATATCATATCATATCTGTGTACATGATCAAATGGAGTATCCTGGTTTCTTGACATAATCATACAAATGCGCAAGTGCAAAAATTAACTTAAATCAATTTAATAAACCAGGAAAAATACAAACCATGATCTCCTTTAGCACAGGAAGCTCAGCGGTAAGGAGCTATGAGATATCCCACAAATCACTGCACAGATCAAACCGAACAGATTCTTCATTAAAATCTTCTGCATAAATATACTCAACTTTACAACATATAACATATAAACCATAACCACTATAGACCACCATTTGATCATATAATTCAGCTTTGATCACATTTGTTTACATTTTACAGAAACGAAACTTAAAACCACATGGCTAATTAGCATAAACTGTTAGAGCTGATAAACACAGCTGTCTCCTTGTGCCTCTGATGTGATCAGCTTCTCTTGGACTAAAAGGCTCGACTCAGTGGATTATGTGTGTTCTTTTTGTGACAGGAAGTGCTAATGATAGTAAGTCTGTTCTGTGCGTATATCATGTTGGATTTAGTTCATGTTTTAGCTTTTCAGAGATCATACACGTGCAGGTCAAACGAGTGCAGTTTGTACGTGTGCAGGTTTAGCGCAGCTTTTTATTTTACTCATTTATGGTCACTTTATTTATGTTGGTCACTTTATGTCACTATTGTTGCGGTGAAAAGACTGGAAAGTGTTTGTCTTTTGGACGCATGCGCACTCAACTTTATGTTGCAGTAACCGGGATACTGCGTGTACATGCCACAGTATCCTGGTTACTATCAGAATATACCAGCTACAGTATCCCGGTTTCTAATAACCGGGATACTGCCATAACCGGGTTACTGAAACTGGGGTACTGTGTATACATGCACCATGAAGAAACCAGGATACTCAAAAAACCTGATCATAACCGGGATACCAATGTGCATGTATATGCACTCACTGTCAGGATGTAATTTTATCGAATTTTTGCCATCCTGATTAGAGCCCGCCCGATATATCGGTTGGTCAATATTATCTGCCGATATGGGCAAAAGGAGACATATCAGCTATCGGCCGATATGTTTGCTGATAGGGGCCGATATTTCACGTGGGCATGTTATACCTCATTATAAATCTTAGACTCTACATTATGTTAATTTAATCCAATTTACAGACAGATAAATGTCCTAATATGTGGCTCCGCATCAGTATTTATCTGTGGAGTCATTTGTCTGCGTGTGTGTCCGTACTGTCCCTGAACACACGTCACTCACGTCAGGTCACTCACGTCAGGTCACTCACGTCAGGTCACTCACGTCAGGTCACTCACGTCAGGTCACTCACGTGCATTTGTTTACACCTGCAGACATAGATCCATGTGCGCAACACTTGGATTATTTTCTTTTTACGGACAATCAGTTTGAGTCTGGATTAAAAGGACATTAATTAGTGCAGACTTGTGATGTGAGGAGGAGCCTGTGTGAGCGCTGAGTGGTGGAAATATGTTGACTTTGAAGCTAGTTTTGGTTCTTTCTCATTGGTTAGCGATTAGCTGCTGTAGCTCCCACACATCTGTTTTCTTCAATTGGTCTATTGTAAAGTGACTATATTGTCCATATACATGTTACTGAACCTGCATTGATATGTAAATGAGCTGTGAATAGAGGTGTGAATGATATTTACGCATATAATTATTTACCGCGGCGTGCATGCATTTACTTACTTATTTAAGGCTAATAGCAGTAGTTTCTTTACTAGCTAGTAGTGATGGGTCGGTCGCGAAGGAAATGGCTCTTAGAGTCAGCTCTTTGAAGCAAACGACGGGAGCCTGATCCTTATTGGGAGCCGTGTTTTCTCTTTCTCTCACTTTTTTTCTCTTCACGTCGCATGCAGACTCGTGGTAGTTTGACAGCGGCAGCAGCTGAAAAAGAAACTTTCAGAAATCTGCGTGTGCATGGGAGAGAAAAAACTTGCATGTTTGTCTGTAGTTCAGCATAAAATAAATAAACCAGGACTAATCTTGGGCTCGAGAGACGGACAGAGATGGAGACCAAGTCCCAACACTCAGTACTGGTTCAGTTCTGGTTTAGTCCTGCTTTAGACATGGCTTAGATTTGTTTTAATCCTGGTTTAGTCTTTTTTCAGTATTGGTTTAGGCCTGGTTCAGTTCTGGTGTAGTCCTACTTGCAACAAAACGATCTGAAGAGCCAGCTGCTTTTAGTGAGCAGAGCCAAAAGAGCCAGTTCCCTAAAAAGAACTGGAATACCCATCACTAGTAGCTAGAATGTGATGCAAAAATACTATTAGGCCGACCTACCGTCTGTAAATATGACGTAAAGAGGCAGAATAACAATAAATGTTGCCTAAATAAACCCAATTTAAAATCCACTAGAGCCAAACCTAAGTTTTTTAAACAATTCAAGATTTACGGTGAACTTCTACATTACTAAATATATCGTTGATTGTATCGGCCATCGGCAGCTCCAACTCACATTTTATCGGTTTCATATCGGCCACAACAAAATCCATATTGGTCGGGACCTAGTCCCGATCGATCCCATACCCGGTTTAGGGACTTTTCATTGACTTTCAGAGGGTCAAAAATGTGATTATATGTGAGGAAAAAGATTAATAATAATATGTAAGAAACCGAGGAAGAACACTAGCCCTTGCCAGTTACTTTGTTACTGGCTGGGGCCAATCAAAAGGCAGGGTTTTAATTATTACGATTTAACACAATAAGAAATATTCCAGCTTATTCCAAGTGTGGTCTCTGGTGGAGGATTGGCTGTAGACTACTCATATAACAAAACAAAACAAAAAAAAAACAACCTCAAGCTATGATCAGCTTGAGGTTGTTTTTTTTTGTATGGACTATTTGGACAAAGTTTGGCTCTCAATTTGAATAAAGGGTGATTAATTGCTAGGGATGAGCATGATTAGTTGATTAATCGATAATTGATCATTAAGAATTTCATCGATTACGTTCATTTTAATTGACAAACCGAATTTAGGTTGCTGTGTGTGGCATAGGGTGACCAAACGTCCGTGTCCAGGGACAAACGGGGGTTCGGACATGTAGCTCTCTGCACTCAGAAGGAGCGAGCAGACAGTCGTCAGCCTGCAATGTGCCGAAGCGTACATGCGTAGCCTATTTAACGATTACTTGTACAAGAAATTCCATGCTTTCCGTTCCAGTCGGGACAAGTGTGAGGCCATGTGCACAGTGTACAAAGCAGAGAGTAGCATAATGTCAATGACGAGGCCCCACCTCTCACCCCCCGTACGGTATCTTGGTTTTAACAAACGCAAATATGGTCACACTAACCTGTATTCCACTGAGTCGTGCCATATCAGCGCAGAAGAGCTGTTTTTTTCTTTGCTTAGTTTATGCAAATGAGCCATGCAGTTTTAAGTTTCGTTTCTGTGAGACTTGCGCAAAGCTGCATTAAACACATTCTAATGTCAATCGGGCTGATGTGGCTCTAGAGTGGTTACTGTTTATATGTTGTAAAGTTGAATTTATTTATGCAGATTAGAAGTGCAGATAGTAGTAATAATGATGATAATTTTAATATAAAAATGTTAATGATTAATCGATAATTGATCGTTAATTCTCTCGATGATCGATTAAGAAAATTTAATCAAATGCCCATCCCTATTAATTGCACAGCCTTACTATAAATATACAATTGCAAGATAAAGTTTAGTGCCTTGGCAGAGGTGTTGGCTCATTACAATTTACATTTTTGACCTGAATACACTACACTACAGACTACTACACTACGGGCCACAGCAGAGAAACCACACCAAGCCTTTTGCACTGTAATACCTGTACAATACTATAGTTGTTTGCAGAGTCAGGTTTCCCTGTGTGATTACAATAACCTGATATCAAATTAAATCTCTTCTGTTTTATCTCAGGTATCTGTCAGAGCTGTGTTGTGTGGATGGGCCTTTGGGTGCAGGCCAGGCCACCTTCCCCGTGGTGAGTTTGGTTTTATCTCCTCTGAGTTTGGCATCCATCCTAAATGTGTTGGGGGGTATCAGATGAGATGTCAGCTCTCCTCTTCCTCCTCCGCAGGGCGTGAAGCTACTGTCCTACCTGTACAATGAAGCCCAGAATAACTGTAGTAATGAAAACTACCCAGTGCTCCTCTCTCTGCTGAAGAGGAGCTGTGCTCCATATACACGGTATGTCAAAGACATAAACATTTTTTGACCTACATTAATTATCCCATATTCACTTTTGGGAGCAATTAAATGTGAGATCTACACCTGTGGATCACAATTTTACATTTTATTACATCTAACCTGTAATTCAGCCTGGTGTCATCACCTGCTAGTCTCTGTGGAGATGGAGCACGTACAAAGTATTAACATGTCCACAAGCAGGCGGCTGACCCTCCCTCAAAAAATTTCCATAGTGCTTCTTATTGGAGATACATTTGCCCTGTTTACATGAGAGCTTTAATTCCGATTAAAAATAATTAAATTTAGAATAAAAAATAATTCCTCTTTAAAAACAACATGTAGACACTTGATTCCTAATGATTATTTGGAATTAAAGTTATTCTAAATTAAACTTAAACTTATTATTATTACTTGTTTATTCTGATTTTAAAGCGTAATTTATTTGGCAATCATGTAAACGTTTATTCCGCTCAAAAAATAATTCCAGTCGCATGCGCGTTGGATCGCCCTTCTGATGCAATGACGCACTGCAATATGGTGAAAAAAGTTTGTATCATGTTTGTGTCCCCGTACCTGTCCCTTTTCCGGTGCCTGTGTAATTGTGAAAAATACCAAGGTTCCTCGTTAACACCGCGTCCTCATCTCAAGTTATCATCATGAACTCACATAACAGCAGCATGTAGAACTTTGTACACAACTCACCACATTAGCTTGGAGCAGAAGCTCTGACATCACATAACAGCAGTAAAGACACAGGGGCACTCACCGTAGCATGCAACCCCTCTCCGAGCGGATTGGTCAGATAGATCCATAGGCTCCATCCATGTGCTGGTTCCAGACGGGGAGCAAGACCACGCACGGGATCCAAGTGGTGAAAGTGAGAATGTGCTGTGGCTGCTCTTGTCCTCCATTCTGGGCGAGCTCGGCTGGTACCCAGGTGGTGCAAAACATCCAGACAGAAGCGTGAATCGCGTTTGTTTGGTTATATGTTGTTCTGAGTGGTCTGTCCTCCATGCTCTTGGTTCTTCCCGGGGAAAGTGCGTCTCAGGCCGAGGCACCTAACACCACTCCCCAGTCCAGCTGATCTGGGCCCAACCTGAACCGGAGCTGCTCCCGCTGGTTTAGAAGACTGGGTTTGGAACGCTGTGCCCCAGTTTGTATGGGCGGGGAACAGCGGTATGCATCACTATGCATAATAGCAAACAAAGATGACAAAAAAGCTGGTAGCAGCGGAAGTCCGGTCGACGTAAATACGTTCGTGTCCCTGTCCAATCAGAATCCTTCCCCACCGCCAGACATTGAGTGGATTTAATGTGTTTTCCATGTAAACCTTTATTCGGAATTATTATTTCCATGTAAACGCAAAGGAGAATAATTTAATTCCGAATTAATTAATTGGGAATAATTAAATCAGATTTAAAAAACATCATGTAAACGTGGACATTGTGACAGCCCTTGTGTAGTAACAGTTATTAACAGTCAACAGTTATTCCCTTATTTTGTGTTGCCTGCGTGTCAAGGACACTTTGTCCATTGCTCTTCCTGTTTTTGTGTGACTGGTTTCACTGTCTGGTGCAGGTTTGTATCTGACTGGGTGTACAGCGGCGTGTTTCGAGACGTTTATGGAGAATTCATGATCCAGGTCAATGAGGAGTACCTGGGTTTCAGAGGTGAGCTACACAAACGCTCTGTTATCTACAGGAGAAAACCTGCGTCAGGCAGATTGTCTCACAAAAAAACAAAAAAAACAAAAAACATTTCATTACATCCTTTATTGCCTAGTTGGATTTGTCCTTGTCACAAAGTTGTTGAATGAAAATCAAGAGGAAACTGAGTCAGAAAGAGAGAGAGTGTTAGGGAGAGAGAGAGAGTGTCAGGAAGAGAGAGAGAGAGAGAGAGAGAGAGCAGAGGCATGGGAGAGAGAGGGGCGTTTCTCTCCTCCCCTCAACCCCTCCCCTGTCTCACACACTCTTTCTTACTCCTATTTCTTTCTCTCTCCTCCATCTGTTTTTCTCACTCTTCCATTCTCTTTTTGCAAACTATGGACCAAATCACAAAAGAAAAATGAATTGTTATGTTTGTACAACATTGAACTCTGACTAATACAAAATAAGAATGAGCAGGTTTAATTTTACAGACAGGTTTATTCTTACAAAAGAAGTCCTGAGCAAGTACCACTTAATTTGACTCAACTTAACTGGACTTGAGTATGAATAAACTAGGACCAAATCAAGACCAACTGCAAGCTAGGACAAAACTTAACATGGATTGTGATGAGGCATTAAAAGTATGGAGATAGATGTTCATTTTGTAGGGTTGGTGTGTCCTTGGGCTAGACACTTAAATTCAGTTTGGTAGAACATGAATCAAACTGGTTCCATCATGATAGAAGACAGGTCTTACTTCCTGCACCTCTGTTGCAGAAAAGTTCAAATAGACATATTTTAGTGGGCACTTTCAGAGTTGAAATACCTTGATCATTACTTGCATTGTGCATCTCTATCCAAAATGCTCAAGGTCAAATACATTTTTGTACCCACAGAAAGAAGCATTATGTAACTTTTCTGGTGTAAGGGTCCGCCACTTGCTTGTCTCCATGGATATGCATTGCTTTTTCTGGGAAGTTCCACAGTATAATGTTTAACTTGTCCATCTTGCATTTATTTAATTGCATTTTCTTTTTACTGCTCAAAAATACCTTGTAAAACATATATTGTTATTGTGAGGGAGGCTGCTTTTTCACAGATCTGACCTGTATTCTGGCTTGCTTGTCTCCATGAAGATAAGTTTTAATACCATACTGTGGAACATTCCAGGCAAAGCAATAGCAAAGCAAGCAGGTACCAGACCCCTCCTTATAAAAGTTTCATAGTGTGCTTTTAGGAGTTTGCACCAACAGTGTGGGAATTCATTTAATACGCTGCAGGATCTGGCACACTATTTTCTAATGAAGGTCACGCTCTGTTAAAGCCTGGAGTTTATATTTGGGTCAAATGTTCAGTTTTTTTTAGATGGAAATTTGTGCTTGGAAACTTTATTCTGCACTGTATTTTCAAACTTGCACTGCACAGCGTAACTACCCCACTGAGTTGTATACAAGTCATTACGGCCCTACCCAAAAAACAAGCTGACAAGTGCAACTGCCCAGACTGGGCTGTCCACACAGACAAATAATATACAGCTTGTAGGGATGGGGGGGGACTTCTTTTATTTATTTTTTGGGGGTGTGCAGTGGCAGATTGGTTGTTCTCGCTGCCTCTCAGTAACAAGGTTGTAGGTTCAGTGCCCAGACTATGATTTCCCCGTGTTGGGAAAGTCTGTATGGGTTATTTCACCATATCTGGATTATTATTTTCAGTTTTGTAAATCAGGGCTAGCTCAAATCTATCTTAGTCACTATAGTAACTGTTACAGGATGCCAGTGTTGACCATGAATACATGGCCCCCCATAGTCTAAAATAGCTTGAAACTAGTATTGCCATAACAAAATTAGACTTGCTCGTTGTATTATCACTAAATATAGACAGTAAGTGACATTTATACTCCTGAAATAATAATCATTTGAGCCACCAAAGTCTTAACAAAATCTACGTGAAACCTGGGATGTTTAGCCTTAACATATTTTTACACATTTAGGCTACAGTAATGCATCTTACATTTATTTTATTTGCTTATGAATTGAAAAGGTAATTTACATAACTATTGATGAAATATTTATTTGAAATATAAGTCCATTTGGCTAGTTAATATTCTTTAACCAAAATAATTGTCAAATCTGTTTTACATTTAGTTAGTATTTCAAAAGCTGGGTAATTTTTATTAAGCACTCTTATCTGAGTGTGTTCTCTGTGCCTGTCCAAAGCTGTGGCTGGATAAATGGACCACAAACAGGGCATAGTGAAATCATGATCATTTAATGACACTCAATAACATTCAAAAAGCCCTACTCTTTTTTTGTTGTTTCTTTTTTATTATAGTTTTCAGTTATGGACAGACAAACACTTACAGGTGGTGATCTCAGCAAGACAAACAAAAAACAAACAAAAACAAAAAAACACCTTATTCTTTTCGTGTGTGTTTGCGTATTGATTGCTCACAAAATTACACAGAAAAACTTTTTTAAAATTATGTGTGCGTGTACACACACACACACACACACACAAAGACGTATACATATATACACACATATTAGGGCTGGGCAAAAATAAAAAAATGAATCGCTCAAACTCATGCGATTAATCACGATACATTTTTTAATTAATGCGATTAATCGCATGTTATACGCAAAACCAATTAATGAATGAAAAAGTAGAGTATAGCGCCCTTTTATTGGAAATGTAAATGAAAGAGTCATACATTTGTTGTGCAAACAGCATTTCTTTCACAGGGGAACAGGGGAAGAAAAAATATTGAATGGACTTTTGTACTATATATATTATATTATATAATATATTTTTTGGAATATTTTTTATGCAGTGAGTAATAAACACTACACTAGTAATAATTTCTAGATCATTGTTATAAACTTGGACTGATATTTCTTGGGAAACAAAGGGTTAATATAATGGAATGGAAATGGACCAATCACAATTTTTCTTCCAATGGTATCTGGGTAAATCAGTGACTCCTCCTGCAGCGCTGAACTAAAGAAATAAGCTCAGCTCAGAGCGCACGGCTGGTCCAGCCGAAGCCGGGAGCCGGGAGCCGGGGCCCGCGGCTCGCGGAGGCTTGGACATGTTGCATCTCACGTGGTCAGAAAAAAGTGAAAAAAGTTTAAAGAAAAGACGTCAAACTTACAGAAACGCTCACAGTGGACTTTTTCTAATAAAAGCCAGTGACAACAGACTTTCACATACTTTTACAATACATTTTTTATATATATAAAAATAAACAAACAAATATACATACTGCCTTTTGGTCTTTGCCTTTTACCAGATGTTTTCCTTCTTCCTTCCAAACCGCATGCTTGTACTACCACTGTATCAACTACAAAGCCCCAAGCTATTTATTACAACTGTGGTTTGATCACATTTCCACTGATGTTAAAATTACTGCATTTTAAATTGCTGTAACCACCCCACATGGACAGTTAAAATACTAGAGGTGGGGAGAAAAATTGGATAATCAAGTGTAGGATTGTCAAAAGAATTCAAAACCAGATACTAATCAATACTTCAACGCCCATGTGAGCAACGACAGTGACACCTGGAGATGGATGATTGGGAGGAACGGCCTCCCTGATCTGAACCCGAGCGCTGTTTTGTTATTGGACTTCTGTGCTAGTCAGTTTGTCCATAACAAACACCGTGTTCGAGCACAAGGGTGTCCATCAGTGCACATGGCACGAGGACACCCTAGGCTGGAGGTCGATGATCGCCTTTGTCGTTGTGTTATCTGACCTCTGACCTCGGGTGAAGAGAGGGGCAGAGCTGTCAACTGATCACCACCTGGTTGTGAGTTGGGTTCGCTGGCGGAGGAGGAAGTTGGAAAGACCTAGCAGGCTCAAGTGTATTGTGAGGGTCTGTTGGGAACATCTGGTAGAGCCCTCTGTCAGAGGGATCTTCAACTTCCAGATTCCGGGGGAGGCTGGGAACATGGAGTCCAAGTGGGCTATGTTCTCAGCCTCTATTATCGATGCCACCGCTCGTACCTGTAGGCTTAAGGTCTGTGGTGCCTGTCACAGCGGCAATCTCCGAACCTAGTGGTGGATACAGGAAGTAAGGGATGCTGTCAAGCTGAAGGAGTCCTACGAGCCTTGTTAGCTCGTGGGACTACTGAGGCAGCTGACAGTTAAGGGCAGGCCAAACGTGCTGCAGCCCGTGTGGTCGCAGAGGCAAAAAGTCGGACCTGGGAGGAGTTTGGGGAGGGCATGGAGGAGGACTATCGGACAGCCTCAAAGAGATTCCCCCTCTCAGGAGGGGGAAACAGTTCTTCACCAACACTGTTTACAGTGTGGGGGGAGAGCTGTTGACCTCGTGGCCATACCGGCTTGTCAAAGCCTGATCCCGTCAGATCTCAGGAGCTAAGGCCAGGCCTGGTTAGTACTTGGATGGAGACCACAGGGAAAATCAGGTACCACAGTGGAGCGCCAGTCACAAAAAACTGTCATTGTGTCCATGGGCAAGACACGCGCACATTGCCTAGTATGAAAGTGGTGTGTGCGTAAGTGATGGTGATGGTCGGAGGGTCCGATGGCGCCAGTTGGCATGGCAGCCGCACTTCCGTCAGTGTGCTCTAGGACAGTTGTAGCTACAATAGTAGCTTACCACCATCGGGTATGGAGAAAAAAGAATAATGAATCTATGAAAAATGCTCTGTAAAGCATTTTTGTGACATATGTCTGTGAAAAAGTGCTATATAAATAAAGACTTAATTACCTCGACTGGGATGTTGTTGGGAGGTGGAAGGAATACTTCAAGGATCTCCTCAATCCCACCTTCTGAGCAGGAAGCAGAGGCTGGGGGCTTGGAGACGGACACATCCATTAGCCTGGCTGAAGTCACTGAGGTGGTTGGTAAGCTCCTTGGTGGCAAGGCTCCGGGGGTGGATGAGATCCGTCCTGAGTATCTTAAGTCTCTGAATGTTGTGGGGCTGTCCTGGCTGACACACTTCTTCAACATCGCGTGGCAGTCGGGGACAGCACCTCTGGACTGGCAGACCGGGGTGGTGGGAATCACACTCCTCAGCCTCCCCGGTAAGGTCTATTCCGGGGTACTGGAGAGGAGAATCCAGCTGATGGTCGAACCTTGGATCTAGGAGGAGCAGTGTGGTTTTGGTCCTGGCCGTGGAACACTGGACCAGCTCTACACTCTCCATAGGGTGCTCAAGGGTTCATGGGAGTTTGGCCAACCAGTTCACATGTGCTTTGTGAATTTGGAGAAGGCATTCAACCGTGTCCCTCGTGGTGTCCTGTGGGGGGGTGCTCTGGGAGTATGGGCTCCGGGGCCCTTTGCTAAGGGCTGTCCGGTCCCTGTATGACCGGAGCAGGAGCTGTGTTCGCATTGCCGGCAGTAAGTCAGACCTGTTCTCGGTGTATGTTGGACTCTGCCAGGGCTGCCCTTTGTCACTGGTTCTGTTCATTGTATTTATGAACAGAATTTCTAGGCACAGTCAGGGGTCGGAGGGGGTCCGGTTTGGGGACCACATCTCTGCTGTTTGCAGATGATGTTGTCCTGTTGGCTTCATCAAACCATGACCTACAACATGCAGTGGGACTGTTTGCAGCCGAGTGTGAAGCGGCTGGGATGAAGAAGATCAGCTCTTCCAAATCCGAGGCCATGGTTCTCGACAGGAAAAAGGTGGCTTGCCCTCTCCGGGTGGGTGGAGAGTCCCTGCCTCAAGTGGAGGAGTTTAAGTATTTCGGGGTCTTGTTCCCGAGTGAGGGGAGAATGGAGATTGACAGATGGATCGGTGCAGCGTCTGCAGTAATGCAGTCGCTGTATCAGACCGTTGTAGTGAAGAGGGAGCTGAGCCGAAAGGTGAAGCTCTCGATTTACCAGTCAGTTTTTTTTCCTCCCCTCACCTATGGTCATGAGCTTTGCGTAGTGACCAAAAGGACAAGATCGCGGATACAAGCACTCGAAATGAGTTTCCTCCGCAGGGTGGCTGGGTGCTACCTTAGAGATAGGGTGAGTAGCTCAGTCACACTGGAGGAGCTCGGAGTAGAGCCGCTGCTCCTCCACATTGAGAGGAGCCAGTTGAGGTGGCTTGGGCATCTGTTCCGGATGCCCCCTGGACACCTCCCTCAGGAGGTGTTCCGGGCACGTCCCACCGGGAGGAGGCCCCCGGGGAAGACCTACAACACGCTGGAGGGACTATGTCTCTTGGCTTGCCTAGGAACGTCTCGGGATCTCCCCGGAAGAGCTGGAGGAAGTGTGTGTGGAGAGGGAAGTTTGGGAGGCCCTTCTCAGACTGCTGCCCCCGATCCTGGATAAGCGGAAGAAAATTTAATGGAATGGAATGGAATACTAATCAATACTTAAACTAGTACTGAAAATAGATACTCATTTGAGCAGGTATCAACACCAAAAAAGTCTCATTGACAGAACAGAAATTAACCTTTCCTCAATAGCTTTAGAATGATGTTGAGCTGTATCAGAACAAGTATAAGAGCACATAGACTAATATACACCCATGGACCACTATGGAACTACCTGGACCACTGAGGTATTACACACATATAAGACCACATGGGAATATAAAGTACTACCATATAACTAGTATTGGTATTGGTATATTGAAATCAAAAAGAACCAGCAAAAAGAGAAGACAGCAGTTCATAAATCCAGTTTTATTTGAATCATTATAGCCTTCCTAAATATTACATGTTACCACAGCAGCCCTCTCAAGGTCGGACCCTCACCTCGGCTGTGTGTGGCTGAGGGCTTCATTTGCTCATCGTCTACACCTCATCAACTCCAGCAGTGAACCAGGCTCTGCTCCCTCTCCTGCTTTTCAGAGGACACGCACACAAAATGTCATTGTCCTCCTACAATTCAGCCGGCTGTGGAAGCAATCAGAAACTACGCTTTCTTGGCAAGCCGCTGGGTCTCTGTGTAAAAAAAAAAAAAAAATCCTGGAAAATCTGCACCCTATTCTTAAAAAAAAAAAGGAAAAAGTAAAGTAAAAAAGCTAAGAGGCTACACTTTCCAAATGTTAATTCAAGCGGTTCAGGTTTCGCCACGCCTCGTAAGTCATACTAATAAGGGAAGTTTTAGATATGAGGGTGGCAAATTACTGCATTCAGAGGCATGTTAACTTCTCTGCTTCTTTCAAGAACATCTTGCATGGCAGTCAGAATATTGAAAAAAAAAGTGTCAATCTTTTCCAAAGTGCCAAATTTCTTTTAATGTTGAATTTTAGGCTCTCAAAGTCATGTCTTAATCATGTGTAAATCATGGGCAGAATGTAGAAATTTGAACCATTATATAACATGGGTTTTACTCAACAAGGTTAAAGATACTAGCAGAGGTTTGGGTTCTTTTAAATAGTAATTTATTCACGCTATTTTTTGTAACTAGCTAAACTAAAACTAGCTACTAAAAAACTTGGAAGTAAAAATAACATACTGATACTGGAAAATTATATAAATGGAATAAAGTTGGACCTTTTTCCTGAGTAGTTTTATGGTGCATTGACACATGTCCTGGTTTGCTCCTGGTTTGCTCCTGGTTTGCTCCTGGTTTGCTCCTGGTTTGCTCCTGGTTTGCTCCTGGTTTGATCCAGGTTTAATTTAGGCTTAATGTAGATTTGGTTTAGTCCTGTTCTAGTCCTAGTAGTGACAGTTTATGTCCAGGTTTAGTGAGCAGGAAAAAGATAAAGAAACATTATGTTGTATGAGAATCTGTTTTTAATAATTGTGAAATTGGTATCGGGCATATGTTTGTGTGTTTTTGTGGCTTTTGTGGTCTGTAGAGTACTAGGTTTGAATATCGTTCCAGGCATAAACATTATTGATAAAATGGTCAGATCAGTGGGATTTCTGCTTCCCTGCACAAATACCATTGTTGTGTCTTTGGTCAAGTCACTTAACCCTGCTTGCCCTCAGTGTCTGTGTACACTGGTGTATGTATGTGTATCTGTGAGTGAATGAGTGTGTTTCTTTGGTGTAAAACATTTATTTATGCCTTGAAGGTAGAAAGATAAATACAGTAAATGTGAATGATTGGTTGCACACTTTGAGAACCTCTGCTTTATTCTTATGTTTTTCTACAGATAAAAACTACTGGGTCCAGGGCTATACGCTGATCTCCAAAGACGTGGAGGATTGTGTCCCAATATTTCTGCGCCATATTGCCAATGACGTTTATGTGTGCGGAAAAACCATCAACCTGCTCAAGATCTGCTGCCCTCAGGTTTGAATGTGGACTCTCTTATGTAGTAACTGTTGATTATTCATAGTATTGCTATAACACATCAGCTTCAGCCCCCTGGTCTTTTGCAGTCAGATATCTACTGCCTTATGCTAATTCATGTTGAAATTATGTTTACTAAAGTCAAAGCAAGATTTCAAAACTTTTCAAATGGCCCTTCAGCTCAATATAAAATCCAGAAGTTCTCTAATGTTTGTGATTTTTGTCACCCAAACATACTGCATATTATTTCACATATGAAGTAGCCATGTACATATTTAATGTATAAACAGCAGTTGGATTATAAAAAAAAGTCCCTAATCAGCAATAGCAAAAGTGTACTGACTCAAATAGTTTAGACGTCTAACAACTGCTAACCTTGAGCTGACGTGACTGCTCTTCCTGCTATTGGGGTGGGCTGCAAAATGAACTTGTAGAGAAATGATAGAGCTGTTATATTTAATATAATTTATTAGTGTTTTAATAATACATTTTTTGTTTAAAAAGCAGCCCTGTTCTTTTTTTTTTTTTTGACTAGTCCACAACCCTCATGGTTAACTAATTAACAAATTAATCCTTCTGTATTATTTTAGTGTCATTTAGGGTAAAAAATATAATACTAATCGATACTAAAACAAGTTTTGAATAAAAATCATTTAAATAAGTACTGATACTGCAAAATTCACATAAACTGGACAGAAATTAGCCTTTCCTGAATAGCTATATAATGATGTTGAGCTGTATCTGGACAAGTATAAGAGCACATAAACTAGTATACTCCCATGGACCACTATGGAACCTACCTGGATGACTGAGGCATTACAGATATAAGGCCACATGACTATATAACATATATGTTGAAAATAACATTCTATTGTCTAAATAAAGACTTTTTAAAATGATCTTTGTGTTATTAGAATTGGTATTGAGTATCGAGTCTATTTCTTAGTATCAAAATCAAGTTTGCATTTGTGACACTAACACTAGTTTCATTTCTATTTCTTATATGGGAAGTCTGAGTAAACAAACAAGCTGTGTTTCATGGAGATGTGTTTGTGCTGAATTGCCAGTGTAAAAAAGATTGCATGTTTGTTGTTTTCCTCTCAGCACTACATCTGCTGGTCGGAGCTGCCCGCCCCTCGCATCGCTGTCACTTTCTCACTACAGGAGGTGGAGGAGATTGAGAAGGAGTGTGCAGTGTACAGAGGGCGCATGGAGTGCATCGCCAAGCACAGCGCCATCAGCAGGGAAGAGCTGGTAATGACAATACAGACAATACAAGAGGTGACAATCCAACATTGCAACATTACAACAAACCAGGGCTAAAATCAGAGCTACTGGAGCAAAAAACAGGGCTAAAACTAGCAACTAAACATACTAAAGCTAGTGCCAAAATCAGGACTAAAGCCTATTCTAGAAACCTCTTATAGAGGACACATGAGGCGAATCATCCAGCACAGCGCCATTAGCAGGATGGAGCAGGTAATGACAATTATACTTATACAGCGATGGAGAAGGACAAGGATGAAGCCTGGGCTCAGGCCGGGCTCATGCCGAGCCCAGGCCCAACTAGGACCACACCCACACCAAACACGGACTAAGCCTTCTTTATTGTAACTTGATGTAGGCCTGTGATGATAACAAATTTTGCTGGACGATTAAATGACCAAGAATTTATTGCGATAAAGGATAATATTGACAATTTGAGACCAATTTCAACTAATATAAATATAATGACCATGGAATAAAAATGCAAATACATCCTCTCAATGATCAATAAACTTGACTTTCTAAAGAACATTTAACACAGGAAGTGTAAGACAAAATAAATCAGATTTAACACAGGACTAGCCTAATGTAGTCTGGCTGACAGCAAGGACTTGTTAACAAAAATGCACTTGAATAAACCACTGTTGAACCAAATACAAACAAAGCAATAAATAAAATGGATTATTAAGTCTTTGTAACAAAATTGCCCTTTAAAAGTGATTTTAGTCACTGACTTACTTTGGTATATTGTGTCTCGTCTCTCTGTGGCTGCTGCTGTGAGCCTCGTCATTTTTGTCATTTAAATGTTCGTATTAACCTGCAACACAGGATGCTGTTTCGCTATGAGGGAGCCTCTGTCCTGTCTGGTGTCGTGTCGGTTCAGTTTCGGGATTTCAGGTTCTCGGGTTCTCCCGGGGGCTAGGTTAGTTGTGTCGCTCGGGTTTGGGTTTGACATTTCTTCTCCTTATTTGCGCGCTCGCTGCATTTGACGCATGTGACTGTTGAGACGTATCAACACTGGTGAGCGGGATGCTCACCAGTGTTGATTCTACATCGTTACTTGTTTTGGTGATGAACAGAGATGAACAGTTTTGTCACTCTCACAGCGGCGTTAGCTTGTGTTGCTAGCACACTGCACAGACAGCGGCGCTTTCTGCATTTGCATTTGCAGGAAGTGCTCAGACTACGCGTGGATCCGCTCTGTTGATAAACACAGCGCACGTTGGTTCAAGCGTCATTACACTTGTTAAACAAGAGGAGTAAGAGAGCAATAGAAGCTTCTAACATTCAGTGTCTTTGAGAGCGAGAGAGAGCGAGGAAAACAAACAAGTTGCAAATAACTTTTCCAGCCACGATAAATTCTATTGAGCTCGTTAAAAGTTATCGTACGATTAATCGATTTATTGATTATCGTTACAGGCCTACTTGATGTATACATTTTATTGCTAAGCTAGGGCACCAACTGAACAACAAATGCATTTTTAAACCACTACTTGATAACTAAACACCTGAAAGACCAACCAAGATTAAATCTGGTCTTAAACAGGACTCTGCTTGTACTGCACCAGGTCCAGATTGGCACCAAAACACCAGTGAACCATAAGGCCAAAAGCAGACTAAACATGTGATAGCCCATATATAAACTTATCTTAAATCCCACTGTAAAGAGGAGATCTATAGCAGTAAATGCATTGGTACTTTGTAAGGTGTGTGATTGTTGGCAGAGCAGAGCCGGCAGCAGGCTCAGAGGCAGGTGGTTCTATGTTTTTTTTTGTTGACGATGTTTTCTTGTTTTTTGTCATTTTAGGTGCTGAGAGCCGAACGAGCACGCCAAGAGCTCATCAACCAGGTCCGTGAATCGGCCGCCAAGACTCTGGAGAACATACGTGGTTAGTTTCTCATCACCTGGGCCAACGAAAAACTCCAACCACTTTGATTAAATATGTTACGTAGAAGTAAATCATCATATGCTCCAATTCATAGTGCAGTGTAGTGTTGTCACTAGGGCCCGACTGATACGGATTTTGTTGCAGCCAATATGATACTGATAAAATGGGAGTTGGAGCTGCCGATATATTTAGTGATGTAAAAATTCACTGTAAATCTTGAATTGTTTAAAAAACTTAGCTTTGGCTCTGGTGGATTTTAAATTTATATGTGGTTTATTTAGGCAACATTTATTGTTACTCTGCCTCTTTACATCACATTTACAGACAGTAGGTCGGCCTAGTAGCATTTTTGCATCACATTCTAGCTACTAGTGATGGGTATTTCAGTTCTTTTTAGAGAATCGGCTCTTTTGGCTCGGCTCACTAAAAGGAGCTGGCTCTTTTGGCTCCAAAGCGACTTTTCAGGTTGTTTTGTTGCAAGCAGGACTGAACCAGAACTGAACCAGGTCTAAAGCAGGTCTAAAGCAGGTCTAAACCAGGACTGACCAGGACTGAACCAGGACTGAGTGTCGGGATTCGGTCTCTGTTTATCTCTTAGTCCTGGTTTATTTATTTTATGCTGAACTACAGCCAAATATGCAATTTTTTTCTCTCCTATGTGTAACAGACCCAGGTTCTGGGCCTGTTGGGCAGATTAAATGTTTCTGTAAAACACAAGGAAATAATGAGACAAGCACGCGCGCTGTTCCCAAGCCCCCAGGTTCCAAAATGGCCGCCCATTCAAGTCAATGGGCTGAGCTCAATGGCGCATGATCCCAGATTAGCCTAGCCCGGCTAGGTACTTCCGGTGGCCGTGGGCCGACCGAGCATGCGCAGTAGTGCTCTTTTCTCCCACGGGCACACGCGAATGCACGCGACCACACGCACGGAGCGCGGGCTCGTGTATCACGTGATCGCTTTGACCAATCAGAGCGAGAGGAACGAGAGCGGAGCAGAGCGGAGCCGGAGCTAACAAATATAAAGCGTTTTTTTAAGACAACTGAAGGATTTTGAGCGAGAAAAAGTTTATGATCTAAAAATAGGTAAAAATCGCCACAAAATCCAATATTTTTTTAAGTTGTAGGTGCCCTGTCAGCCGAACACGAGCAGGTTGTGATTACATTGCGCTCTATGAGAAAAATCTTCTCTCGGCCCATGGGATTTTTCGACTGTAGTACCACTGAGTGGCCACTACGTCAACTCGAGGCAGCTACAAGCTAGCAATACTGTATCCAGTTATTTTAATAGATCCATGGCTGTTCCTCTTTGCCTCGCTTCTGCCATATTGGACAGGAGGACCTCTGACCTCACAATACCGTCTCGAGGAGTCATGCGCCACCTACTGGCGTGAGGGTGTAATTACAGGTTAAATAAAGTTATTACTTAAATTGCTAATTTGGAGGCAATTTAAGTAATAACTTACTACCAATGCATACACAAAAATAAAACATAATGTGAAAACACATTACTGTGTGTCACACGCTCCCTGACAAATTAAAATGGCTCCTAACATTCAAAACATCAAAGTTTACAAACCCAAACCCAAAAGTCAAATACTCAACATGGTATAGGTGTAGGATATGTGTATGGGATGAATGGACATGGCATGTAAGGTGGAAAACCAGCACTAAATGGAATGTAAGGTGTAGGTGCCCATGGCTGGAATGGCATGTATGGTGTGAGTGTGGAAACCATGGCATGTGGCTCTACGGAAGGTTCACCAAGTGACTGATAAGTAAACATCTGTCTAGGTCTCCTTTCTCTAGTAGATCTCCTTACTTCAGTCTGTGGTTCAACAACAAATGTCTGTGGGGGTTCTGGTGTGAGACCATCACCCTGTTCACTTTCTGCTTCAGAATAGGTCGGTGAGGCCCGTACCACAGGAACAGGTGGCATCTGTGGCACAGGTGGATTGTCTCTTTCAGTCTGTTTGTGTCCGTTTGGTATACTAGCCCTTTCATTGTCTCTAATAGGTGATAGGAAGCGGTTACTGGTGGTCTCTGGGACTTGACTCGTTTGTGGTAAGTCTGGCTGGCTAAAGTCAGCATCCCTCTCTACTTGGCCAGTCTGTCTGAGGGGCAATCTTAACCAGTACCCTCCTACACTCTCATCAGAGTCTGAATCACTAGTGTCACTTTTCTGCATGTCTCTGTTGCTAGACTGAGTCTTTTTTTGTCTTATCTGTCGTTTGGCTGTGGGCTCGGGTCTGGTAGGCGGAGCTTCTACTGGGAGGTCATTAACAAGTAATAAGAGGTTACGATGGAGGACCCTAGTCTTACTCCCATCACTGTTCTCAGGGTAAACTGCATAAACTGGATTGTCACCCACTTGTTCTTTAACAAGATAAATGGTCTTTTCCCAAAAAGAACGCAACTTCCCCGGACCCCCTCGTTCACTAAAGTTTCTAACAAGGACCCTATCCCCTGGCTGTAAAACAATACCCTTGAGCTTTTTGTCATAGTAGGATTTTCCTCTGGCACTTGAAAGTCTACTTTTCTCACTGGCTATTTTGTATGCTTCTGTCATCCTTTTTGCCCACTTATCTGTGTAGCTCTTGTGTGACACTGTCTGCTTCTCCCCAACTAAACCAAATAAGATGTCTACAGGGAGACGTGGATGATGTCCAAACAGCAAAAAGTAGGGGGAAAACCCTGTGGATTCGTGTCGCGTACAATTGTAAGCATGTACTACATGTAACAAATGGTCTTTCCAGTGTTCTTTCTCTTTTTCACCTAATGTCCTTAACATCTGTAAAAGTGTCCTATTAAACCTCTCAGCAGGATTACCTTGAGGGTGATATGGTGACGTTCTCGAGTGTCCCGTTCCAGACTTCTCCCTCAGAGTTTTGAAAAGCTCATTTTCAAACTCGCGACCTTGGTCGTGATGTAGTCGTGCCGGGTATCCAAAGCGTGGGATGAACTCTCTAAAGATCTGCTCGGCTGCAGTCTTCCCCGATTTGTTTTTGGTTGGATACGCCTGGGCGTACCTGGTGAAGTGGTCTACGATGACAAGGATATATTCATATCCCCCTCTGCTGGGCTCCAGATGAAGATAGTCGATGCATACCAGGTCCAGCGGTGAGTTTGACGTGATGGTGCCCATAGGAGCACGCACTGGGGCTGTCGGCTTTTTATTGATGATACATGGGCATTTTCTTGTGACATAATCCTCGATGTCATTTTTCATGTATGGCCAGTAGAATCTTTCTCTTGCCAAAGCTAAAACTCTCTCTGTGCCGATATGTCCCATGTTGTTGTGTAGATGTTTTAACACAGTCTCTTTGTATTTGGCTGGGAGAACTAGTTGTTGTCTGTCACCACTTTGTCTGTACATGAGTCCATTTTCAAAATGTAGTTTATTCCACTCTTGTAGCATCTTTCTTGTTGTTTTACTGACAGAGTGTCTGATGTCATTTGTTAAGACTTGCACTTTCTCTTTCAATCTTATGATTTCACCAACAGTTCTGTCATCTCTTTGTGCTTTAGTAAGTTCTTCTTGGCTTATGGATGGGACAAATGGTTGTGGTTCAGAGTTCACATTTGCAGCAAGGGCCAGGGCAGCTACCCAAGCAACATCTCCCTCTTGAGCTGCTCTAGCTCCACTCCATGTGGCTTGAATCACATCAGGTGACAGTTCTTCAGTGCACTCATTTACATACTTGTCAATATTAAGGGGCAAGCGGGACAGTGTGTCGGCATCTACATTTGTTTTTCCAGGCCTGTACTTGATCTCAAAGCGAAAGTCTGACAGTTCCCCAACCCAGCGGTGTCCCACAGCATTGAGCTTGGCTGTGCTCATAACATAAGTTAATGGGTTATTGTCAGTGTATATGGTAAAGTACGGGGCATAATATAATAGTCTCTGAAACGCTCGCACACTGCCCATTTGAGTGCAAGAAACTCTAATTTACCACTGTGAAGACGATAATTCCTTTCAGCTGGTGACAGTGTCCTGGACCCGTACCCGATGACTCTTAACTTCCCATTCTGGCGTTGGTATAAAACAGCACCTAAACCCTGCTCTGAGGCGTCTGTGTGAAGGCAAAAGGGTGAGTTAAAGTCAGGGTAGGCTAAAACAGGAGGGCTTGTGAGCATGTCTATTAACTGTTCTAGTACTTGCTGGTGCTCATTAGTCCACTCTACAGGGGCCCTAGATGATAACTGGGGACCTTTTGTCTTTTGCTGGCGGGACTGATGTACTGACATGCCTGATTTTACTTTTAACAGTTCATAGACAGGCTTTGCAATGCGAGAAAAGTCTTGAATGTAGCTACGGTAATAACTCAGAAAGCCTAGTAAGCGCCTTACATCACCAACTGTCTGAGGTGTCTTTGTTTTTAGTGACTGGACGGCTTCTAAGTCTTTTGGGTCAATTCTCACACCTTCAGCTGACACAAGGCGACCCACATATCTCACTTCTCTACGAAACAGTTCACATTTTTCAGGTCTCAATTTAACACCGTGTCTTTTGAGTGCTTTCAAAACTTGTCTGACACCCTCAATATGCTCATCAAATGTCGGTGCGTAACACAAAATGTCGTCTAAGTATGGAATACAGCAATTGTCTCTGAGTGAATTTAACATCTCCTCCATACTTCTCTGAAAGGCGGCAGGTGCGTTTGAGAGGCCAAAAGGTATTCGCACCCACTCGTAGAGTCCCCAGGGAGTGACGAAAGCTGTGAGATGACGTGAGCCCTCTGCCATAAATCCCTGATGATACGCCTTGCCCTGATCGAGAATACTGAACCACGAGTGTCCCCCTAAGGTGTCAGTCAGATCTTGGATCCGTGGAAGAGGGTGTTTGTCAGGAATGATTTTCTGGTTCAGCAGGCGATAGTCTATGCACAGGCGCAATGAGCCATCCTTTTTGCGGACGCAAACAACAGGAGCTGCATATGGAGATTTTGATTTAACAATCCACCCTTTAGCGAGGAGGTCCTGTATGTACTCTTTCACTTCGGA